GCCAGTGTGCTGGAAAGAGACAGGCCGATACGATCGTGATTTTATTTCTCTGACTTTGTAGAGGGGCCGATGCTGAGCACGAGGCTAGCGTCAAGGATTCACACTTGGGCTGGATAGGAAAGGGCCGCGAGGGCCGCGCCGTGATAGGGCATGCGGGCGAGGGAAGCAGAGGCGACACTTGACCAGATCGCAAATCTGGGGCGTTGTTGGAGGCGATACGATGGGGGGGTCGAGGGGCCGATGTCTCACACTTGGGTTGGATGAGAAAGGGCCGCGCTTAAATGGGGGTAAATTTATTCAAATTCTAGGGGGGGCCGATGCAATAACATGGGGCGGACGTCAAGGGGTCACACTTGTACAGCACAGGACAAAGCCGGACAAAGCCGGTCCATGATATCTACGCCATGCGGGCGATAGTCGCCGCGCTTGGTAAATTTATTCGTCGCGCTTTTTATCATAACTGTAAGCAATCAGTTTTGTAGTTTATTACCAAGCACAGTATACGCCCGTCTCAACCGTGAAGCCGGCTTAGCTCAGTTGGTTAGAGCGCGCCCTTCGTAAGGGTGAGGTCGCGAGTTCGACTCTCGCATTCGGCTGCAACTTTTTTTTGCATGTATGAACAGCGAGATTTATGTGTTTCCGATGTGAATGGGAGCCTCCGGAAATTATTTTTTGTGTCGGGAGTCATATTTTTCTTTTTTGTGCACAAAAAGTGAGTTTTGTCACGGAAATGCTTGGGCACACAATGTACGTCCCCCTACAATACGCACGATTTGTACTCACTGGACGCCGACGATGACGCCGTCAAAGCTCTAAGATAATTTAGATTGCACGCGTGCGCATTTTGGCATTCGTGCGATACTCATTGAACCTAGCATGGGGTCGCCCGTCCGAGAAAACGGCGCGTTATGTGTGCACAACGCGCCGTTTGCGTGTTATAAAATCCCGATTTGGTCAACTCAATTTGCGATTTTAGGATTCAGGAGGCGCCCAGTCTCTGACGTTTTTTCCGTCAGTGGGTGCGTTTGCCCCTACCATTTGCCTTGCCCAAGAAATTGTTGGCATGAGAAGCCGCAATGTTCGGAATTCCTGCGTCAGGTTGCATTTATCCACTTGCGTCGAGCCTGTGACTCGACACATGTTTTCGTCGCAGAGGGACCAGGCGACATGACACGAGATGCTGTGGGGCCAAGAGGGTGTGCCATGGGAAGATTACAATTGTCACATCCTCTGTAGCAGCCACTAATTGTAAAGTTATATATATATTTATGGTTGAATGGATAGCGATATTGCGTAGTACGTACACATCCTGCAAACTGCTTCCAGAAGGTTTCGTGTTGATTGAAAACAATTTGAGACGCAAGCTAGTGAAATAATTTGAAAAGTGAGCTCATATGAGGTCATATGTCGTCTAGCAACTCGAAGGACTTGTGTGTGTGATTGTTTTCAAATAGTCTAGAGTGAAAAGGCAGCCTTTGATATCATGACATTCTTTGGATATGCAGCTTCCAGCCCCTCTTGTATTTTTGAATCAAGCTGCTCTTCAATACCCGTTCCACAATGTCCGCTCTTCACTAGTTCCTTCACAAGTTCCTTCGCACGTCACAGGACCTGAGAAAATGTGATCTAGCATTCTATTCGCCCCAACATATCTTATGGCAACAGAGGCCTGTACTATATTGCCTTTTATTGGCAGATGCTGCACTAAGAAGAAGGAGATTCAAGAAAAGATTCCGTCCTTCTACCCTTCGAAGGGTACACACTGTAACAGCGACTGACGGTAATTTAACTGTGAGTAGTCTTACTGTAGCACTCGCGGTCTCGGCATAGACGGCATACACGACGGCATACACGAATGCTTCATACGACCATATTTCATGGGTCTCAAATTGCTCAACAAGTATCCAAGTTACATACGGTATATGGTGCAAGAAAACGAGTCCACTTACATAGCAAGGAAAAATGGAGACCGTGGGCATCAAAGTTGAAAAGAAATAAAATTATGAAATATGTTAGACACTACCCTTCGAAGGGTACCACTCGAGTGGTAGACGTGTAGATTTCCTGTCGTACAACTCCAACTCTGCATCAAATATCTGCTGACGGGGTGGGGGCCTACACGCACGGTAACAACGGTAACTTCATTAGGGGGAATAAATGGCTGCTATTGGGGCACACGCGGCGATCGAACTTCGATAACTTCGCAAGGATGCAAATGCGCCACCAGCGTGATCCCCAACGGAGCGTATTTGATTGGGCCACAGCCGGAATCGCGATTCCTGAACCGGCACGCCCGGGCCCATGGCGTGCAACCATTTTGCAGGCCATTTTGCATGCGAGATTCTGGATGCCGCTCCGCACGCACCGTGCTTGGTGTGGGGTTGGTAAGCAAAATGACTTAAATTTACAGCTCGAGACTCTACATGCGATGACGGGGTACCGTACAGTAGCGATCGTGTGGGGCGCATAACTTGAGCCATGCAGATTCGTTGCCGCCTCCCGCTCACCTGCCCATCTCCCTTCGCATTGAGCTTTCCCCCAATGCAAATGTGCCTTTGATACTTCGCACTGACCTTTCCCCCAAAATATATGAGCCTTCGATACGCCCACACCCGGCGTCCACCGCCACCCACCGCCCTTCCCCGCCGTGCTCGCCGGACCAACTGCTGCACACTGGCCCCCTTGCTCGCGACACCGAGCCCAGCTTGCCCCGGAGACTGCGCCCCCCCGCGTGCACTCTGCCATGTGCTTCTAAATATCTAGAAGAGCCCGTCTAAGAACTGGCCTCATACAGTAGTACCAGGCCATTTGTCACTTTAACACTAGATGCTTGCCGTACATGAAATGACCACTCCAAACCTCCCGACACCATGCATGCATCCCAGGCCAAGCCGCTCAACCGCATTTAAGCACCAGTCTTCTTCTATTCTAGAGTCTAGACCTGTAAACTTGCCCCCTCGTTCGACCCTCGTTCTCCAGCCACTTTTTACCTGCTCCACACATCTTCCACGCGGTACCCTGCCAGCCAGCTTCACGGCCTCCACCACCATTCCGTGACAGACAAGATTCCAGTCTCAGTCCCGCAGGAATTCACATCTCACTTTCCTCGCACGCGTTCTCGCGTGCCCTCCACAACCATTTCGATCTCGGCGCCAGTTCGTTCGTTCCCCTACTTGCCACCCTAGCACTCGCAGTCGGCATTCACCCATGTCTCTGGTCTGCTTCCCCTTCAAGACCGAGCACGTTCCGACGGTGCTGCGCAACGTCCATGTAGCGGCCGAACACCCCGCAGTCTCGCTCGTCCTGCTCGTCGGCGCCTGCAGAAATGCCTGCTTCAACGCGGTAGTCTCTGCCATCGACGCAGTCAATGCCTCGCCGACGCCCTTCGCCGTCCCGGTCGTGGTGCAGCAGCAGCAGCGGGTGGGCGCGCTGCGGCCGGGCAAGGGCGACGGCATGAACTCGGCGCTTGACTACTTCCTGAGCGCGCACTTGGTGCATGCCAACGCGCTCTCGGCGCCGCTGCAGCGCATCCACTTCTACGACGCGGACATTTCGTCGTTCGACGCGTCGTGGATCACAAAGGCCGAGGCCGGCGCGGCGCTCGGCTACGACGTGGTGCGGCACTACTTCCCGCGCTCCTCCACGGACGCGCAGGTGACGTGGCAGATCACGAAGGTCGGGTTTGCGATGCTGTGGCCGCGCACGACGCTGCCGTGGGTGCGGCAGCCGCTGGGCGGGGAGCTGTGCCTGTCGCGCACGGCGGCGGAGGTGCTGGTGGGCGACGCGCGGTGCCGGCGGCAGAGCGACTGGGGCGTGGACACGGTGTACACGTTTGTGTGCGCGCAGAAGGGCCTGTCGCTGCTCGAGGTGTACGTGCCGCAGGGCAAGATGCACGCGCTTTACGGCGGGCTCGGCGACCTCAAGACGATGGTGTGCGAGTGCTTCGCGGCCGTGCAATCGCTGCGCGGCGAGGCGGTGCGCGCCGCCGCGGCGGTGCACCAGATCGACCCGGCGGGCGCGGCGCCGCGCGACATCCGGCAGAAGGTGGCGTACGACGTGGAGAAGAGCCTCGGGCTGCTGCGCGCCAACTGGAGCGCGCGGCAGGAGACGCTGCTGCGGCTGTTCGGCGAGGACGTGGCCGCGCCCATGCTGCGCGCACGCAACTGGCCCGAGTACGGCTTCATGACCGAGCGCGTGTGGGTCGCGGCGTACCAGGTGTGTCTGCGGGAGTTTGTGCGCGGCGACGACGACTGGCGCGAGCTGCTGTTCCGGCTGTGGGTGGCGCGCGTGCTCAACTACACCATGCGCGACGTGGTCAGGGGGTACGAGTACGCGATGCAGGCCAACACGGAGATGGTGATGAAGCTGCTGGTGCAAGGGGACGAAGCGCGCGTGCCGAGCGGGGCCGCGGTGGACGGCAAGGGCGCGGCCGTTGCCGCGGCCGCCGCTGCCGGCGCGGCGCACGTGGGCGGGGTGGCGCAAGAGCGTGGCGCGGAGGCGGGGTGGCGCGAGGTGAACGTGGCGCAGCTGGCGCAGCAGGTCGAAGAGCGAGTATCATAGTGCAAGTCGAGAGGTAGGGGCTCTGTAAGCGTATCGTATCTGTAAGAGTATCTGTAAACGCATCTGTAAGGGAGTAGGAGTAGCACACTGTCAGACAGTGTCAGACGGCGGCGGAATACAGTACATCACGTATCCGGTGCTCCCGTGACATCTGTTCCGCTGTTCCGGCGTGTCTTTCTGTCGCTGAAGTGCGCTAAGTAGCCTCACACCCGCGATTTCGGGTTGTTTTTTCATTTTTGCTTTTTGCTTGTTTATTCATGCAGAAACTAAGAAACTTCATGATTCTTCATGGAGAAACGACTTTAGACAATGGTAGCCACGACTTACACGTTACATCTCCATGATGGAGATGGGCTACAGGGACCCTAGGAAGGCATGGGGGATCTCGATTTGGATGGTTGATCGCGATTATCGGTGGGTCACTTGAAGAAGGCCGAAGTGGTGACTTTTTCATTTTGCAGCATTATCTGGCAGTTTTTGCGCGCAATTGCGCGCAAAAACATGATTTAATGAAATCGCGGCCTCACACCGTATCGAGAGACTCTTAACTCTCGCGAGAGGTTACGGTGTGGGTGGAAAGGATAAGGGTGTGCGAGTGGATAACAGAAAGCGGCAGAAAGCGGCAGAAAGCGGCATAAAGCGCGTTTACTGTTGTTTGTTCCTCTCTGCCTGCCCCCCTCGATCGTCTAGCGACAGAGCGCGGGGGAACTTAAATGTAGGAAAAGGAAAAGGGAGATTTTGCGTTTAGGGGGGCGATCAGGCGCATTTTGGTGGCTAATCCCCCTAATCCCCTAATCCGCCCCCTAAATGTAGGAAAAGGAAAAGGGGAGCGGCGGTGCATCCAGATTGCATATCCCTGATCTCGATCGCGCGACAAGCACAGTACAACAGTACGTGTAGTACTATGCACAACACTTTCCCGCCTCCAGCCGCGGGCGCCGCCTGCGCTCATAACCCACCAGTAGCAGAGCGGCGGCGGACAGCGAGAGAAGCGACGGGCGCCCATCTGGGGACACGTATCGCCGCGTCACTCGTTCCATGCGCGCCGTCACGCCCTACTCCCCTAATCCCCCCGCCGCGTTTTACGCCGCCGGTGTGGCGCGACGCTGTAAGCGCGAGTAAGTGTGAGTGGCGGCCGCACACCTCCTGCGCGGGTGCCTGGACGGGTGCTGGAGCGCGCAGGATCGCGCAGAAACTCGCGCAGAAACTCGATACTGGATAATGAATGAAGGCGCAATTCTGAGGCTCGAATCCGGGATTTTGGCAAATTGGATGCCGCTGCATGCAAATGCGAAGGGAAGGAAGCAATTCCCCGGTTCCTGCAAAATGGGTGCCGGCTTTTCTTAGGTTTTTTGGGCTGGTCACACCAATAATATATTTACCAATGTTCGCGTCCGAAAAACGCAGACATACTGTGCTTTCATTACTACCGCGGACTACCCCATAATACTGGAAATCGCATAATCATAAAGCAAGGAGACGTGTTCCTCGCCCGTTTACACAGAAATGTGCAAGGGGATTAAAAAGGAGCGCCCACAGGCGAGAAGCTCACCCTTTGGCCTGTCACAGATGGCATGTGGACCGCCGAAATTGCTGTCCAAGTCTCCTAAAATGCCATTTCAATCTTACAAGGCAACCTGGCCCTTAGGAAGAACCGAAGCGATACTGTCCGCTCCGTTGTTCAGGAACGCAGTTGAAATACCGAAAGTGTCGTACAGCATGCGGAGAGGCGCCAACATAGCTTGGGCGGCAGACGGCTCGATCGTTCGCGTAAAGGTGGATGCGCGAACAGAGTTCACAATAATATCTCCATGCACGGTCTGCGGGTTGAAGAGACCCGTGCCCTTCACAATGCCAACGTTGCTCACAAGAGTCTTTGAACCATCTCCAAGCTCCAAGGTATCACCAACCTTCGCGGAACCGGCTGCGGCGAAAGCATTGTTAATGTAGATGTAATGACCACGCGTAGCCGAGAGGGAAGCACCCGATCGAGTTGAGATACGAACGAAGTCGTGGACAGCGGAAGCATCCTTGTGCGTGAACATGAACACGTCGGAGAATGATCCATCGGCGACCTTCACCCTGTCACCGAGTTCAACCTGTGCCATGGTTTTGAAAGATCCATTTTCGAGTTCGACAGAAGCGTCTGCAGGGAAGCAGACGCTATCATCATCGTCGTCATCATCATCTTCATCACTGGCCGAAGGCTCAGGACTTCCTGAGGCATCGGCAAGTTCAATGTCGATTGGAGGTTCGGGACTCCCGCTGTCCGGAACAAGAACTGGTCCGGCACTCTCGGCAGGTTCGGCGTCGGTGCCGATGCCAGGGCCGCCAGGGGGCCTGTTGCCGCCACCATTATTGTCAGGTTCGGGAGACTCGCTGGGCACTGGTACAACTTCGGGACTCTCGCTGACCGGACCTGGTCCGGGACCGGGACCAGGACCAGGACCAGGACCAGCTTTACGCTGCTCGTACGAGCAGATGCCGCCGACTGTCTCCGGTTCGATGACAACCATGTAAACCTTGCCAGGTCGGAAGACATCGCCAACTGGGGACACGACATTCTCCGGGTTGAAGATGAGGACAACAGTCTGAGGCTTGAGAAAAACCCTTGCTCCACGTCCACAGTTGCGACCCTCCTTCTCCAGGCCGTAGATGAACTCGACACCAGTACGCTCGAAATCTTCGAGGAACCTCTTCGTCTGCTCATCATCGATTTCGCTCATGAGAGCGGCGGCGTCCGAGAAGATAGTCATCTCACCACCATCGTTGCAGTCGTTCCCGTTGATCGTCATGACATCATGGGAGAGGGTGCCGCCCTCGGCGCCTTCGGCGACAGTCTCATTATGCGAGATCTGGAGGGGGCATTCCGGGCCAGCGAGAGAAGAGGGAAGAATTCTTCGGAAGGTGCCAATAACATCACTGAGAGCGACGGGCTGGCGAACAACGGGGACGAAGCTCGCCGAAGCGTAAGCGACGAGCGCAAGCGCGAGAAGGGCGATGCGCGCCATGGGGAGAGGGATCGGAGAGTTCGGAGAAAGTTCAGGAAAAGGAAGGGAAAGTAGGGGGGGAGCACCTGGAGGCAAAAGGAAAGACGCACTCGATCTGGTGTGGGGTAGGGGCTGCGAGAGGTGGGAGGGACGGGCTGTATAAATAGCAGAAGTTTGGCAGCACGAGAGGCGAGGCGGTGCGAAAGGTGGAAAAAGGAGGTGGGGTGACCTGCGAGAGTGAAAAGAGGGGCTGGAAGCAGTTTTTTCCCAAAAAGGGGTTTGAAACGGGCGGGTGACGACTCGAGATGTAAGGCGACGGGGCGACCGCGGTGGATGGACGGATCTCAAGCGCGCAAGAGGTCTCCGTTAACAACCTGCCAAACCCGTCACGGGCTGGGCTACCCCCCCCCCCCCCCGATCAACTCTTGTGGGCACCCGTCACGCTCGCCGCCGTCCTTTTCGCTTCCCCTGCATCCACGTGCTCGCTACTTAATACCCCTGTTACCACCAGCGCAACGTACAGTAAAAGGGGTCTCTACCCACTCGTGTATTAAATCAATCCTTTTCTTCTTTCTCTCCGCGCTTATCTCTACGTTCATTGTTCTCCGCAGCCGACCTCTCACCGCAGCGGCGACCACTTCAGCATTGTCCTGTACAGTAAAGTACAGCTTGTACGTACATACTCAAGCTTACTGTACACCAAATGCCCTCTTCACCCTTACGTGTAGTGTAGTCCACTGCAGCGCACCGCTGCACTCCCACAACTCGCTGTAACCACACCGCTTTAGCAGAACACTGGCAGCGAAGACTCCATCCCAATTATTCTTCCTGTGCAGCACAGCGCCAGGCAATTCTGTGGGGATTTTAATTAGCTGCACAAAAGAACCTCGACTCCCTTCGCCATTTCCTGGAGTGCCCCAACGCTGGCCTGCTGTAAAACCGTTACGAAATGATATTTGCACTCAAGCGACGTCCAATCACCCATCCTTATTGCACTACAGTATTCTTTCACCCCGGTAGACCATCCAAGCTTACCGTTATATTATTCTTCAATCATCATGACCTCATCATCAGCAATCCGTATATAAAACCTTTTCGGATCGCCTTCGCCAGCCTCGGAAACACCAACCCCGGGTAACCTGTTGGTGGCCTTGGACGCACGCGTTCCGCCCACCCCTAAAACATCGAAAATTATACTTATTCTTCCAAACAGCTTGTACTGTACGTGCCAATGATATCTCCAGGTTGCCCTTCGAAGGGTTGTGAGTCACGCTACTGAGCTGCTGCCCGCTGCTGGGGACACCCCGAAAGAACACACACCTGTGTTCGGCAACAGAAGGCCCCAAGTTATGCAAGCTGTTTCAGCGCTGAGCTGTTCAAAAAACAAAAAAAATACAAAAACGGCCTTAATTGCCGTGCGATCCACTAGTGTACCGGTTCCGCAGCGGTACAAGCAGCGGTACAATACCGTATCGCGGTGGCCTACAGCCCCTTCTGCAGCGGCCGAGCGAAGAGGGTGCACTGACGACCCGATTGTGGAGAAAGAGATAAAGTGACCGCACCTCCGGCCCGCCATGTGTGGTCAGAATCTGGAGAAGCATCGAGGATGATATCTGCGTGACGTGCCCGTCACAGCGAGTCGGCAGGTCTTCCGCGTCCATCGTCACCAGCAACAATGCGTGGGCACGCCCTTCCCCCCCCCCCTCCTCCCAATCAACTCACATTTCGCAGCGTCGAGGCGCAACGGATGGAAAACCTGGCGCCCTATACTGTATTTGCGGCATTCCCGCATCATTATGCGAGCTGTACGAAATGTCTGTCGTACAATACTGTACCGTGCTGTTCTGCCGCAAACCCCGCTGCCTTCCACCCTTCCGCCCTAAATATCGAAGAAATAGAGCCCTCTACGCTGTCAAGATGACGGTGAAAACTCGTTTTCTGAAACCTTTTTACATGCGATAGCAAACAAACCCCTCTGGAGCATCATAATTTTCCAGTGCCCTCTGCCACTTGGACACCACATGCGGTCCCTCATTACAGATGTTTTTTTTAGATATTGAAATTTTCATTATTTGAGGACTTCGGCTGTCTTGGCCTGCTAGCAGGCTAGCACTAGTCGTCCACACCTCTTCACAGAACCAATGTCACGCATCAGATCTGCATGATTTGGCCCCTCAACACCTCTTCTGCCAAGCGTAGGCGGTTCTTTTTTTAACTTTTTTTCATTTTTCAACTCAGAACACCGAGGCTCACCAATGTAAACCATCACTATTCCGGTCGCCATTGATACAGTTACGACAATATGTACTGAACAACGAAGTTCAACAAGATTCCTCACATGCATGAAGCGACCCTTTAACCCTCATTCTGCCACGCTCTCAATTCAGCCCCGAATATTTCCCACAGTGCTCTCACTTTTCTCCACGCTTCAACATATTGTGTACAGCACGGATCCGCCCAACCGACCGGCAGCACTTGCACAGTGCTCGCACCTGTGCCGGACAGGGGGCACAGTTGCGGCTTATTTAGCAGGAAACTTTGTTGGCTCCTTCCACAGAAATCCTGCAAGATTGCCGTAGGAGAAGTATTCCTTGCGTCCCAAGGCAACAGTCGTGCACACAGAAATTGTCAACATTTCAGACTTTGTTTACTCCTCTGGGGGGCTCTTCGTCTTTTCTCTTCCTTACATGCTTGCTATTGTACCCTTGGGTACTGTACAGTAGCACGCAAAAAGCATAAACGACAGTTACTGTACTTCCGCCCGCAAGCGTCGCCTCCCAGTCACACTCGCATGTCACGTTCACGTCATACTGCACCCCTCCCTTATCAAAATCAAAACAATTGAGACCGTTCTCTGCATTCTCCGCAATGCCGTTTAGCCAACCACAGTGGAGAATCGTGTTCAAACGCTACCACTCTGCCCCATCAAATACACATAGATACTGTACTATCATACACAAGGCTGATCTGGGTCTCAGGATTCGTGAGTCGTTGAGTCAAAAAATTGATCTCAGGCAAGCTGCACACACGTGCACATCTAGATCCCAATTGGAGCAAGGCAGAAAGCTGAAACAAAGTTATATATCTGTGTATAGATCTATCTTCACGAAGAACGAGATCCAACTTTTTGATACAAATCTACCTTGGTGCATCTTCCAAAACTTGGCATCCTCGTAGAATTGGGCCTTCACCACTTTCCTTATTTGGAAAATCAATTGGACAACTATTGCTTCATTCTGTACAGTATTGTACCCCCAAGACCGGCCACAAACCGGAAAGAAAAGGAGCATTCTAGAAACCATCTGTGTTCTTTACCCCCATGCGCTCTCATACGTGGCCACCTATGATGGTTCTCAACCAATCAACGTTTCCCGCCATTATGATTATCATAAATCTCACGCACTTATCACGGCGCCTTGTCATTACAGAGCTATCCATAGATGTGACATCGTGCTGGATCCCTATCATACTGTTCACATTGCTGGCTGGTTCGTTGTGACCGTTTTGCCAATTGGCCAATACAGTATTCCGACGTCCCTGATCATACGTGCTCCATCTCCTCCCCACCCTCCTACTCAGTCTGCACTTCATATACACAGTTAAGCGCACATTCACGGTCCTACGAGATGACAGGTTTCACGGTTGCCGTACGCACACATCGAGGACGGGACACTATTCTACTGTACCTCCCAGTTCCTGTACCTCCCACTTTCGCAACGGCAGCAACAAATTCTCTTCTATCGTTCGGTCTTCGCTACAGTACTCCTTTCACTTCTTTCATTTTATGTCTTAAGGTGTACTTTACAACAAGTCCGGGGCCAACGTGGATTCTCCTTTGCCGTTGGGTACAGTGTAACGATACAGTACTGTAGTACAGCACGGAATGAGGGGCAAGAGCGACGTCACGAGCCTCTGTGCCTGCGAACCTTTGACTCCGCGATAGGCCTCCCTGAATTTTTAGTTTGTCGTACAGTACATGCATCTCATTTATGTTCGTAATCAGTCGTAGGAACCACCCCCACCTTCCGACATAATCCGATGCGGCTACTAAAAATGACAGCGAACACCTCGAGGTCGTTAAGTACCACCTCTTTCACAGACACGAGCTCCGCAAGCTCTCTCGGTACTCAATACCGGCAAATATGGATGCAGCAAGGCATGAACCCCAGTGCCTTACTGCATCCCTATATCTCGCCCTGCGCTCATGAGAAGGTCTGCAGAGCAAATTGGAGATGCCGGTACAATCTGCGCTTGGTCTATCGTCACCATTTATATAGGAGTCACATGACTAGTATGGCTTCTTGCACTCTCACGTACTGTACCATAGCACCCCTGCAAGATCGATTGCCTGCCTCTTCGTGTGTCTACGGTGTGTTGAAACATGATGTTAAAAAATTCTCAGGAAGGCCTAAAAGGTATTCAGAATGTTTGTTTCACAAAAGGCTTCTTGCAAAATCTGCAGGTGACTATCAGAACATTGACAAAACAAAACTACATCTATTGTACACTTGCAGTTGAACCGTTCAAGAAGTTGCTCGATACTATCAAAGCTGCTTTGGAGGGTACGGTACCCTTTGAACAAGGCAAACTATCTCTGGCAAACTTGGTCGAACTCTGTCGTACTCTCGCCTCTTTCCTCCTTGACGAAATGGCGCGAAATTCTGTCCCCACTTCAACCGAATTCACATGATGCCAGGCACAACGGATATGCCACCATGAGCTGTTTCAGATATGACAAGTTGCGAAATGTCGATCACTCCAACCCTTTCTCAATCCAGCTCTGCGGCATTTTCCTGTGGTCTGGAAAATGGTCATGTTTCTGTTGTGATGCACGAGAATAGCCTGGCATTAAGAGTAAAAAGGAGTGGACCACTGTTCACATACTGACATCTACCGCACACCGGCCAATATCACGTATACCGCTTGTATGGTACGATACCTCGTGGTGCTCGTCCATTTTGCGGTAATAGTACAGTCAACTGTTGCAAGTCCTCAGTGAGTACTCCTCACTACACTCTACCGTGCCAACTTGCAGAGAACTTCAATTGGTCTGGCAGGGACCATAGAGAAAATGAGCTTACAGGTAAGCTCTCAAGAGCTCTTGAGACTGTGCGATCACCCCCCTCAATTCTTCATGATAAGCAGCAGCACCGTTGCTCGGAATTCACACACATGCAGTTCGTTAAAATGAACCGGAAACCGCAGTTCCAGAGTAGAAAAGGGCTGAAGCTTGCGGCAACAAGTACAAAACATTTGCGAAGAGTCCCCTCTCCATACTTTCCTCTCAAAGTCGAAACCATTTCATCGTTATTATACTTTATTCAATTCCAAAAATGCATTTATTGACCAACTATGCGGCTCTCTCAGCGGCTTCCTCATGCGTACAGGGCCTGTACAGTACTACAGTACCAAGGGTATTGAACTGTACAGACTTTTAGTGTCTGGAAGACCAGTAAACTCAGGTAACCATTTGAGGTTACCCTTCAACTTCTTCTTTCTGGACTTGTACTTTTTCGACAACAGAGAAAAAGATACCCTCGCCGCCGTACTTGAATTCTGCGTTACGGAAGGATAAAGTTTAGAGACAACTGCCTGTCCTTTCCGGTCGTTTTTTACAACTGTCTGGCAAAAAAGCTTTTTCAAGCAACGTTGAAACGATTTGTTATGATATCTTTGAAACCAAAAGGCCAGTTTTAAAAAGCACCTGGTCGTTCGCACCCTAGAAGAATCTTGGCTTTTCAGTGTTTTCAAAACAGTCATACCGATGGTTTACAATAATATTGTAACATATTATGTTATTGTCGAGGGCAAGTACGTTAAAGACAGGATGTGCAAAATGACTTTAGAACATTGCAATTTAATGTATTCTTGGGGCGGAAATCGTTTGTCTATTTCAGTAGAGAGTCATTGGAGAGATAAGCTAGCATCTGGATGGAGCACCACAAAACTAGCATTAAAACCCAGAAACTTTTGACATGCAGGGCCCCGGGCGTGAGTACTAGAGATCTCGACTCAATCTCAGTAAGGTGCGAGACATTACCTACCTTCGAGAAGGAAGATATACCTTTAAATGCTGCCAGTGTCACCCTCAAGTACTTACCCTTCGATTTATGAGAAAGAACGCCCGCTATGTACGGTATTCACCAGAAACTGTGCACTTCCTCCAGCCATATGCTTGTGCAGTTGCAGGGTGGAGTGTCCCCCATGTAATGCGTTTGATCGTGGAAGCGGATTCCAATCATGGGGAACCATTCATAAACAGCAGCCACACACACAGAATCAAATTCAAATAATCCTGTCTGGGAGATGTTCCCGCATCGTGAGAGAAAGAAACTTTTTGACATGTTGGAAAAATTAGAAGCGCAGACGACAATGCGCGGTAGTGGTCATCATCGCTATTCTGTGAGATAACAGGGGAATCATTGATTCCAGAGATTAAATTGTGTCGCACCTCAGGTCGAAATGAGTTTGGACAAAGCAGTCTTGTTGCCGCTGACGTCACACTTGAACACTATTTCTCCTTTTGTGCCAGCAGTACATATCCACAGCGTCGCGAGATTGGTGGCGCAGCGATGCACATAGGCCCCCTGGGCCTGTGCATACATTTCCAGAACCGGCACGACGCCCAGTTGGTTTCTGTCGTGTAAACTTTAGCTGCACTTTGTTAGAGCATCCCCACCGGTGACAGCAAAATGCTACCCATACCGAAGGGTACCGTTGGTACATTTAGGTGTCGAATTCATGTGTGGGGGGGCTCCAAAGTTCATGCGCGGCGCCACGTCCAATGATATTATGCGCAGGCTTCGCAAACACCTCGTTGGGCAACGGTCGTGAGTCTTCGTACTAAACTATACCACGAATTGCCTTGACGACCATTGCTGGCCGCTTGGGCCAGACCCACCGACACGGGCACGACGCGGTACCAATACTGTACACGCCCCATCGGCTTGCCCGCGGTAAGGCAGTGACGGAGGTGGCGTCCCTGCCAGCGTCTTTCTGCCAGCGCTCAACAAAATCCATCGCGCATTACCGTTGGAGAAGGGCATGCCAGACGCTGCCTCTGCGGCGGACAGGCCCAAAGCGGAGGACGTATGAAGAGGCGACAGCAATGGCGGGGTGCGCCAGGGAGAAACCGTGACGGGTGCGGTGGAACGCGATGCCGCCGGGCATGCTCGGCGACCGCGCGGGCGCAGCCGGTCGGCGTGGATGGAGCGCCAGCAGAGAATGCGAGTCGGGGAAGCTGGAAGCGGCGCAGCACGGCGCCCCGGGCACACAGCGGACGTGGCCGCGCGTGACACGGAGGGGGTAGAGGGGGAGGGCGGTGCGCGCGCGCGTGATGACAGACGGAGGACGGAGGGCGGGGGCCTGCGGGGTGGTGAGGGGGTACTCTTGGGTCTAGAGCGGGGCTTGCTCGCTGCACGGGCAAGTCGTTGGGGGGCGAGGTTTGTGGAGGGAGCGCCGCTCAAGTCGACAGGGCGGACGGGGCTTCCGTCCTTCCAATTCTTTTAAAGTCCACTGGCGCAGAGTGTTGCGTAACGTGTGCCAGGGTCTCGCCAAGATCAT